GTATGTATTATAATATATTATATATATTATATTATAAAACATATATACATTAAAACAGTTAATGTAGGTGTAGTTCTTGTCATCCCACCGCAGAAATTATATGGACAACTGAAAAAGGCACGTGGAAACGTGGCAGTGGTGAGTGAAGGTATAGAATGATCTTGTTTGGTGAAGATTAACTACATAGGAATTCTTTATCTTGTACAAGAGTCAACTGAAGAGGGGTTTGTCAGGGGGTCTAAAAAATCAGGAACGGTTAAAAAAAGTGAAACAGAGAATGGCTAGTCATTGTTCCTCTTAACACAAGAGTTAGTAGGTGTCCAGAGAAATTATTAGGGAGCAGGTATAAACTGAAAAAATAGGAATGGTCTTTTGATGCAATGCATAATTCAACGCTGAACTCATTAAAATTGGGTACTTTCAACATCAAAATAGAAATAAGATAAAAACAACTGTAGAAATTGAATAAACAGCCACTAAGCACAAGATCAGGGGTACAATTTTTGGCCCAGCCAGCCCTTTCATCATTGATGGTCCAAAACTATAGATTGTATCAGGTGAAAGGATGATATAATCTCTAGTTGTACTTACTTTCAAGACATTTTCCCTAAGGTGCTCTTTGGGGGAAGCTCTTGGAGAAAGGAAACTCAGTAGGAAGGATCTGACCACATCCACAGGTACTGTACATGATTCTGTGTTGTTACTCAAGATTCACTCTGGTTACTTCCCTATGCTGAAGAAAGCAAGGTGAGTGGGGCTCAGGTAAGCAAGAGGGAGCAGAATTCAGCCCCCATGTTGCTACACCACAATTGCAGAGAAGTGGGAGTTCAGCACCATCATTTCCTATGTGAAACAGGCATAAACCCAGAGGTCCCTTGCTGCAAGCAGAAGAGCTACCGTGTAATTTGTGTTTGTGTAACAGAGAGCAAAATCCAGGCTGAGTTGCAGTGCCTGGCCAACATCACCAGATGGACACCCTTCTGCTGTGCAGCCTGAGATGAGTCACCCCACTGTGCTGAACATTGGCTTCCTGACCTGCTCTGGAGGGGATGAACTTTCACACCATGGCCTGCAGCTGCCTAGGGAAGCCTCAGCTGGGAGGCTCTTTATGGGCTTGTCCTGGGCACCTGCTTTGGCTCCTGACTTGAGGCTGGAATGAAAGCTCAGCAAATCCCAATTTCTGTGCAGGGCCGGAGGAAGTGGTGGTGCCTGGGCACAGGAGTGGGGAGCTGTTTTGGAAGGGATGTTTAAGGCATGCCAAAGAGCATGGATTCTGCTGACCAGTGGGAGCTTTCTCCAGTGAGGTGACAGGTCTCCTTCAGTGGGATGGAGAGGTGGCAGTGGGGCTTTGCACCTCAGGGGAGGGATAGCCATGTCTGTGAAGTGAGAGAGTCTGCTGTGTGAGAGAGGAAGCCAGTGATTCTCTATACCTTCCTGCAGAGAATATCCTGCCAAGTTTTTGCAGAACCAGCATGTGGCAGCTGCTGAGGTTGCTTTGTTTTAGTCTACAAGCCTGATAATCTCTGTTTTTGACAATTCCAGCCTGTGTCCTTTACTGGTGAAAGGCAGGAAGAAGCACTTCTGCTCTGAGAAACTCAGCATTAACTGTTGGGAATATATCACTGTCACCACAGGGTTCTTCCCCTGCTATGGCAGCACCTTGGCAGGTTTGGGATTTCAGGAGACTGATTTTATGAGCCTCCTTTTAATTCTTTTCTGAGCCTTGGCACTTGCAAAATACATGGCCCAGCCCCTCGCTCCAACTGAGCACCACATAGCATCTTAAAATATGTAAGAACTGTGGGCTTTCCTCTGCAGTTTTGTGCTGTTGGAGGCCTCACCTTATTGGGCTAGCATTTAACTGACTGTGTTTAATCAGCCTCTTGATGCTGCTTCACAGAAAGAGCTTGGGAAACAAGATGGGAAGGACTGAGGTCAAGAAGTCCAAGAGGTCAGCAAAGTGAACTGCAAGTACATGAAGATAGAGGAGCCCTTCAAATTTCAGAAAAAGCAGAGATTTGTTTCCAAGTGTGGTGAGTCGCAGATTCCAGAGATGATCTCCTGTCTCTAAACCCCCTGTGTGTGAACACAAACCTCCAGGTGAGCCTGACTTGAGATCCCCCCTCTATATTGATGGCCCTGCTTTCCTCAAACTCTTGTCTGGTCCCTTGAATGCCTGCTGGGAAGTGAAGATAAAGGAACAAGAAGTAGCCTGCCCACACCATCCTGTGTAGTACTTTTAAGGGTGTAAAAATACAGCTCCCCATCAGTACTTGTGCCCTTGTATTTAACCCTGTGCTTTTACACAGGATCAGCTTCTCCAGTGACTTCCAGACTATTGGCAGGTGAGTCCCTAAACAACTGTGCAATAAACCTGACTGCAAAAAGCATGGAGCATCCATAGCCCCTGCTGAGTTGATCAAACACTGTAGGTGCTCAGCACCATTGCCATGTGAGCCTCAACAAAGCCATAACAGCAGTGACTTCTTTTCTGTGCCTGCAGTCAACAGGAGCCTCCTAGTCCATCACTGTTCCTCCAAGCTTGGTCTGAGCTCAGACCCTTCCTCCAGACATATCTGGTATCAGGAGAGGGATAAACCCATTAATGAAGCTGTTTTGGGGAAGGAGGGGTCTGGACAGAATTTGGATTTGGCTTGAGATGCCTTGGAGAAGGTAGTCTTATGTACAGACCTAAATTAAAAGCATGGACAAGTAAGACAAGGTTTCCACTCTCCACTACCTTCAAGCCTCCCTGCCTTTTGAGGGACAGCTAACCAGGGAGGAGGAGGAGGGAAGCTGTGTTGTCACATCCCTATTGTAGTGAGCTCTGATTACTGTGCAGATACTTGCACCTCTGGAAGTAGGAAGAAACCAGCCACAATCTCAAACCTGAGTCAGCAAATTGTCAGAAAGGTAGTCATCATCCTATGTTTTTCTAAGTGGGATGCCTGGAGAGGCAAGATGGCAATGACAGACACCTGTACCCACTTCTATTGTCCAGGAGCATCCTGTGCACTACATACCTTTTGTGCTCTCTCACAAAATCAACCAGCTCCTCTTCTGAGTAAGGCTTATCAGGGATGTGAACAGGCTCATCCATAAATGGTTCATAGAAGTCCACCTCGTTCATCTTCAGACCTAGCTTCTTTGCAACCTGTTGCAGTGCAGATAGTCAGAGGTGAGGGATCCTGATGTGCCTGTTTGCCTACCCAGAGTCTCTCCTGGTGGCAGAGCTGAGATCAAGGGGCTTGGTCTCTCTCAGAGAGCACTCCTAGGGGTAGCCCTCAAAATAGAATGGATCTTTCATTGGTTAAAAACCCACTGATGCTCTCTACATTACTGATGTCAATCACTGTGGCAGAGCAAAGTCCCTCAGACCTAGTAGGGCTGGTTGCCAAACCCATATCAGGACTGCTGCAGAAATGGCCTTTTGTCTTGTGACAGAGCCAAATCCCAATGTGGATACCAATACCACAAAATACAGGAACACTTAAAATGAGAAGCTGGAGCCAGATATTAAATCTGGGAACATCCTGATCTCCTGGAAAAGAGGTGGCAGCATCTGTCAGCTCCCATGGAGGTCTGTGGATGCTTACCCCTTTGTCGAAGGTGGCAAAGAACTTGATATATGGCTGGAATTGTTCAGCAGCTTCTTCAAATGCCTTGAAATCTGGAAGAAGAAAAGGGGAATGAAGAAGAGATTTTGCAGACAGCTGGCCACACTCTGGTCAGCACAGAAGACACCAGGGAAGAACAAATATAAATTATTGCAAACTCTATTAGATGATGACCCTTTGTTTCTTCCACCCTTCCAGGGTTTACAAAGAAGGACCATTTCATGTGGAGTAACATGCTGTGCAGCCTCACAGTGTTCAGGCAAACTATGGATCCTGGCATGCCACACTTAACTGAGGCTGAGGTCAGCAGCCCTGTGAAGCAGGTCCAGGGGCAGTTCAGCCTGGGAAATACATGGAGTTACTCCAGCATTAATGATTGTTGCCATTCCCTAAACAGTCACTAAGTGTGATTAGGCATGCTTCTCCTGCTGCAGGAGGGGGGGGCAGGAATGAGGTATGTTTTCGTGATTAGGCATGCTTCTCCTGCTGGAGGAGGCGGGGGGCAGGAATGAGGTATGTTTTTACTGTTACTGCTATCATAGAATCATAGAATCAACCAAGTTGGAAGAGATCTCAAAGATCATCGAGTCGAACACTACTGTCATTACTAGACCATGGCACTAAGTGCCACATCCAGTTTCATCTTGAAAACCTCCAGGGATGGTGAATCCACCACCTCCCTGGGCAGCCCATTCCAATGCCTGACTACTCTCTCAATAAAAAAATCGCTTCCAACCTAAACCTCCCCTGGCAGAGCTTGAGTCTGTGCCCTTTTGTCCTACTGCTGGTTGCCTGGGAGAAGAGACCAACCCCATCAGGTCCTCATGCTGGGATCAGGAAGGATGCTCTCAGACTGGCAAGAGATTTTTACCACAGGCTTTTCCTGCCTTTCTTCAAAGTACTTATTGCTAAACAGTGTTAAGGGCACAGCCTTGCCCAAGCTGCACTGCAGCCCATTTTGAGGAAGCTCAAGGCAGAGGTGGATGGGCTGTTGTGTTGCAGCAGACCTGGTGATACATTGCTTGTTCAAGTAAGAATACCTGTCTTTTTGCTAAAGGCAAGCCTTGCAAGTGTGCGGTGCACGCTGCCAATATTGCCAGGACAGCAAGGGAAGTGCTTGGGACTGGCAGAGGAGACTGCTGGGGCTTGACAGGGAGAATCTCAGGTGAGGGTTTCTCGAGACTTGTAAAAGTTGTTTTTGCCTGGAATGGTCCCTGAGTTGCACATCCCTCAGGACATCGGACCACCCTCTTCCTAGTCTTGGAGATCAGCAAGGAGAAACAGGTCAGTGCCTCTGCTAGGCTGCCTCGAAGTGCCCTGATTACTGCTACTGTATGTTTGCCAATTTAGCATTTAATGTGTCCCACTTTCTCTTTGCCTCCCTCCTCCCCTCCATCTTTCTTCAACCTTTTGGGCACACTGCTCATAAGAAGGGGTGCTTGGCTCCTTTTAGTTGCTCACCCAGTGTAACTGTAACCTCAGCTGATTTTGGGAAAGGTAAACTTCTTTACTTCAGGAGCCCCTGGATTATGGCCCTCTTCTCTTGCCAGCAGGCACCTTGCAGAAGGGTCACTGCTCTTGGCATAGGAATGGGCTCATGCATAACACCAGCAGAAATTTGCCTCAAACCCCACCTCATTCTCCAGCAATGTTCACACTGTTGCAACCTTCCATAGACCCCTAACACCTTTAATGTTCATGCACAAGAACCAATGCCTGGCTCCTGAAGCCCCCAGCCAGGCTCCAAGCCCCACAAGGAACATATCTTACGTTCAGAGTCTTCTCCTTTGAAGTAGCCAATGAGTTTGATTTCATCATCGATCTGGTCAAAGGCCTGAAGCTCCAGCTTGCTGTTTATTACCTCCACGGGGTCTTCTAGCAGCTGCCATGACAAATGTATGTGATAACGCAGTGATTTGCAGCACCAACCTATGCCTGGCAGAGTGTGTCACTAGCAGCCTAAGTGGGGAGAAAGAGGTCACCCAATTTCTCTGCTGTTGGAAACCCTAATTAGTGCTCTCTGCTTTAATGTGAGGAAATCAGGGATGCAGGTCACCTTCAGAGAGAGACGTTTGTAGGTCCACTGCATAGGTGGAAGCATTGAGAGGGAGGCCAGCTGAGGTCTGGGTAAACCAAATGGATGCTGAGGGACCTGCTCTAATGAAAGATAAGGGTTGCAATTGCAGCTCACTTAGAGAGGCTGAGTAGAAGAACGAGCCGTTGAAAGGAGCTGGTATGAGCACTGTGAGCTTCTGTGAACAATATATATATAACTGTATCTATATACACTTGTTTTCAAGTGTCATTTGCTGGAAGAGGTCATTGCAAAGAACTTGATTTTGAAAAACAACACTGGCATGCTAGAGGGTGGTCAAACAGCGGTTTGGAGGAGTGGAAAGTCTGGACATGAATTTTCCCGGCTGATCCTCCTATGCAGAATGGGTTAAATCTATGCTTTGACCCCAGACACATCACAGTGTTGAAGAGGAAGACCTATCTGGCACTTTAGCCTGTCATTGTTCCAAACATTAATTCTGTTTTCTTATCTAGTCACTGCTGATGAAAAGATTCAGTCTGATTATTTTGCCCAGCAATACTTGTATAAATCAGGTGTAGTTTCCCTAGAAGAAAAAAAAGCAGACAGGACACCCTACAGAGGACTAGAGAACCTCTGGGTTTGTTTTTTCCTTTGAGATCAGGGCGTCAGGGCACCACAGATGTGTTTGGGTTTATTTCCCTGCTTTGCTGGGATGCACCACATGGCATAGCAAGCAAAACCTCATGGAGTGCCTTACACCTCAGTCTTGCTCCAGAATGAGGCTGTGCCTCTGCTATGCCCACAGGTACGTGTGCAGTTTCCTGGTGCTATAGTGGCCTGAGCCATAGGGCCAGGGATCCCACTGCTATGGGGTCACAGCAAAACTCTGCCCTGTCTCTGACCCTCCTGGGTGGGGCAGGTTCCATTTTCGGTTCCTGAATCCACTTGCATGTGTTTTGGCCACAGTACCTGGTGCACACAGCCACAGACATTGTCATAGGAGAGCTGAGGTCCTAGGGAGCTGTTTCTCTTCCCTGGCCATGCCTCTCATCATCAGCAGTCCTGCACCACAGGTGACCATGTAGGCATCCTGCCACGCTGGGAAACAAACCCTGCCATCTCCACTGCTGACCTTACCTCCCTGATCTCCATTACTGCATGGCTGCTTAAAAAGGGATCCTTGTTTCAAAGGAAAGCAAAATGTTTTCATTACAAAGCAAAGACCATGTTTTTTGGGCTGTTGCCTCTCCTAGGAAGTAAATGTAAAGAAAGCAAAGTGCAACACATTGATAGGGAATTCAGCATCTCTTTTGCATTTAGGCACAAGGGTGAGCACACCATTGTGCCTGCACACAAAATGATCTGAGAGTACTAAGTCCTAGGGCCTTGAACTTCTCTCCCTCATGGCAGTGCAGTTTGGGAAGTTCACTGAAGGAGTAGTAGTACACTATGTTTTTTGTGACTAGAAACGGACAAATGGTTTGCAGCATCAACCTTTTTCAATGCACCGAGCTCTTTTTAGTTGCTCTATAAGAATCCTACTTCTTGCATATTCTTTTTTTTTGAAAATAGCTTTTCTTTAAAAAAAAAAAAAGCATAGAAGATTTTGCAAATGGCAAAGTGTTTCCCTGCCAGCTTGCTAACTGCGGTGGGCGACCAGCAGTCAGCTACATGGAATTGTTGTTTGCTTTCAATCAAAAACTCCATTAACAGAATGTCTTTCAGATATAAGTGGTTGGTGGCATATAAGGGTATCAGCTTTCCTGGGAACTCATGCTCAGACAAGTATTGGGGAAGCTGGCAAATGTCATCTCTACCAAGGAGCAGCAAACAGGGATGGAATTTCAAAGGTAAGCTCATGTGTTTTAGCAAACTGAGTACTTGCAAAGTCTTCTCTGAGAGGCTTTATCTAGGTCTGAGCTTATCTGTGCTTACATCCAAGAGGAATTCCACCAAGACATCTGTGGCCAGTTCCCCATCAAACTCAATCAGCCGCTCATCCTTAAAGACATAGAGACTTCCCTCTTCAAACAAGCCTGAAAGAAGAGTACAAGAAACATAAAGTGGTTAACATGTCACTAAAAGCATTTTTCCTGCAGAGTATCTTGCTTGTTATTCCAGCAAAAGCATTTGTACTGCAGAGTATCTTGCTTGTTATTCCAGCAATGCTGCCTGGGAAAATACAATTGCCAGTTCACTGTGTTGATCTAGTTAGGAACAACATGAGCAATCTCCTAACAGATGTTTCATGGCACAAGAGACAGACCTCAGCCAGAACTGATGTTAACTTCTTCCCAAATGTTGAACTTTTTGTTCAGGCCAGTTTGGCCCCAGCTGAAAAGCATCTGCACCAGGAACTTGTTTTACCTTGGCTATCTATCTAGCAGTAAATACTGGGCTCTAACTGACCACCTGTCACTATGTGGAAAATGGATTTGTTGCAGGTTGTGCTTTCTGGAGAAGGCTGAACTATGTGAACATCAACAGTGACCTGAAAATGAGCTTCAAACTCTCTGAGGGTTAGCTGGCTTTTGCAAAAGGGGTAGAAACCAATGGTACAGATGCCACGGACAGCAGGGTGGTGGATTTAAGTGCTCTATCACTGGACTGAGTACTGAGTACCACAGAACTTTGATGGAGTCTCCTAAATCAGCAGCACTGGCCTCCTGCAATACAGGATAGCAGGGTACCACTGGGCCAGGTGGTTGATGGTTTGTAGCTTCTTGGAGCAGCAGAAGCTCTTGGCTTTAGTTTAGCTTCCACCAGCACACACAGCCTGTAATTTAGGAAAGAAAATTACAGTCTGGTGTGATTAAACAGTCTCTGACCTTAAGCCTAATAGTATATTTTCGTGCTGTTGTATTCATGTGCCATAGTATTTTCATATTGCTTTGTGGCATAAAGTATGAAAGGAATGCCAGCCCCTGGAAGGCAGATGTGTCCAGGGATGGACAATGCAGAAGCTGTCCACCTTTACAGCAGGTTTCCTCTTTTTTTCTGGGAAGCAAGCTCAAAGGTGGCACCTGGCTACCAAACCATTGCAAGGCTGTGGCTCCCCCATTTGTTGCCAGAGGCCACCCTGCCATGGGACTGGTGACATTTGGGGGCCCATGTGATTTCAATGTAGTTCTGGTTCTGCACTGTTGTGTCATTCCTGTCTCTGTGCAGGAAGAGCATGGAGTTACCCTGTGGCACCTATTTACTGTTTCTGCACAGCAAGCTGTGAGCTTGCACATTATCATTGCTACAGCATGAATTGCCTTTCTTTCTCACTTATGTAGAGGCCCAAAGAAGTTGACTTTAGTTGCGGGGTGGATTGTGGTGATGCATCCCCCACATCCCACTCTGCACTATGGTCTGAGAAATGCTCAGTAGGCCTCAGCCTTAACCAGCTGCACCTGGACTAAGCCCTTCTTGAGCTTATCAGAAACACTGTCTGTTCCCAGGAACTAGTCCTGTCTATTAAGCTCCTGGTTTTTAATAAGGGGCTAATGTGTATGTCTCAAACATTGATAACCAGATGGCTGTAGAGCCAACAAGAACAAGATTTGGCAGGTGGAGGGGGGCCATGCAGAGGTAGGGAAGCACCTGCCTGGGACAAGCACCCTTGTTATAGTTCTTGGGGATAAGAACAGCTGATAGAAAAACCTATCTTTGGGACAGAGAAACCTATCCATAAGAAGGTACCCACACCAAGCCCATAGCTGCGGTGCTCCCGGGGCCCTGGACATCTCATTGCCTGGACTGATGCTGAAATGAGGGTTACCAGCTGCATCGAGGGTGAAGCCAGTATTGACATCCCATTGGCTGGATCAGCACTGCAACCAGGACTGGTGATCTCTTTTTTCTCTCTTTTCTGTTTCCTTTTCTCTTTTTCTTTCTCTCATTCTTTCTTTAATTCACCTCTCCCTTGTCATTTTCTCTCTTCCCTTTCAGACTTCCCCTTTAGCCAAACCCACTGCTGTGTGCTTACACAGTAGCTCAGCTACTGATGGATCAATTTACATGTCAAGTGTGTCATTTACTAATAAAACTTTCTGATTGTTTGCAGACCCTGTGACTCTTGCCATTCCTTTTGATGAGGTCATTACAACTTGGTTTGGTTTGGTTTTATCACTGTCAGCCAGGAAGATTTTTGCTGGAAGGGCCCATCTCATTCTTGCCCCCACCTCCCACTTGATCCTGTCCATGATGGGCTGAGCAGGTGGTCAATGTGCAATTGACACCATCATCCTCCCCAATCCTGGTAACAAAGATATGACTGTCCTCTATGGGGCTGCCTGTTGGCTATCACTCCCACACTCTCTCCAAGCTATTCCAGTGATATCAGAATGGAACTCACCTAACTTTTTGGCAAGTTTGGCATCCTTCTTGGAGTCCACCATCCCAAAGCCGATGCTCCTGGGCTCCAGGACCTGAGCTGCCAGCTGTGGGAGGAACCAGAGAGCCCAACATTAGCAGCACTAACACCACAGGGTAGCTAAATGGCATCATGCCCTGCTAGAATGGCATGACAAATATAAGTGACCCATATTCTGCTTTCGAACAGCGCTGATGGGTGGGATGTGTCACATGCTGCCTCTCCACTGAGATAACCCAGAGGTCACACGGGTTGGGTTTCCTCCCACTGTGTTGCAGCAGGGAGTTTGCTGGCTCTACCACACCGTTCACTGCTGTTTGATGCTGGCATTGGGAGAGGACTCCTGACTGAATCAGGGACACCAAAGCAGTGGGAATGGCTGGAAGAAAGACCTGTGTCATCAACACAAAGAAAAAGCTGTTTCCTCTGTGGGGTCTCAGTGGCCTCCTGCAGAGGTGTGTGACACGTGGGCACCATGGGCATTTTAACTCTGGAAGTGCAGGGTGTCAGGCAGTGGTGAATGCAAACTGGATGGGATGCAGGACACTGCAGCACGACGTTTCCCTCATGCATGCAATGGGACAGACAAAGCAGACTCCCTTTTCTATGAAATGTCTCCTGTCGAGGCTTCATTAACCTCCAGTTCCTGGTGCCCTCTTTTTCCTAATGAAGTGCATCTAATCCCAGTCATCCTTGGGTTCACCTCCTTGTAGCTTTGCAAAACCACTGCCCCCTGTTCCCACCATTTTTGATGAAGAGGTCCCTTGAAGATATCAAGTTCCTGCCTGTTTTGTGAAAATAGATATGTGAGGAAAGGAGAGACGCTCAGCAAGGGCCCTGGGGTGGGAGCGGCCCCGGGTGAGACCCTGTGAATTCCAGATGGGCTCCTAGAGATGCAGTGATCCTGGAAAATGGGTCCACTTACACACCAGATGACTGACAGCCCCACCACAAGCATGCTAGAGACCCTACAAGGTGGTAATGATGCTGAGCAGCTTCTCCTCCCTCTCCCTTCCTGCTCCATGAATGCCTCTGATGCTGACAGTCTTCTTGCTGCTCCCCCTCCCAATCCTGCTGGATGGCGGGGAATGATGGAGATGAGAGGTCAGGGGCCTCTGGGACAGGAATGTCCCTATTAGGGCACAGCTGCCCATGCTTGTCGGAAATAGGCTTGGAGGGGGGCAGAAGAAATGCCATTGCCAGAGAGATGGTGGGCTGATTTATGAGGGCACCCCCCAATCTGACCTGTTTTGGTGCCTTCCCCCAGACTCAAAGCCAGTTTGAATGTCACCCAGTGGTGCTGCCACCATAGCTGTGCAGCCCTTTGGCTCCACTGCTATAAATAGTCTCTGCCTGTGCCACGCGACTGTGAGAGCAAGCAGAAATTAAAGGCATTGAGGAGCAAAAGTGGTAGCACAATCACCTTGCCTGTGCTGTCAGCACTCTGTCCCCAAAATTCTGGAGGATGATGACATGCACCATGGCAATCAGAGCTCAGAGACCTTGTGTGAGCAAAGGGGTGTAATGGAGAATGTGGTTGTTTTCCTCCTTCCACCAAATATATATCCACACACCTGTCCCAAAGCCCTTCAGCAGGTCATAGTCTCCACCAACCACCACAGCATCACTGCAGCCTTGATTCCCCTGTGGCTACCTGGCCTGCTGTCTTTAGGGTGAAATGCCACCATGTGAGGCAAAAGGGGTGCTTGAGCTACACAGGAAATAGGCATTTCAATCCTTGCTCTTTGCCAGTGCTTTGAAATAAAGGTAAGGCTGCACACTCAGGACTTGTCTGTACAATGGACTCTGAATGGGACAGAGCACTGGTTTATGTTGGGACATTCATTGATAAGGCATCCAAGTACTAGTCTGAGTGGTCTGGCATCCCATCTCCTGGCTCAAGCCATGGCCATCCATGTCAGAGCATCTGATAGTAGCTGGTACCCAACAATGCAGGGAGGGATGGACACCTCTTGTGAGCTCTCTAAACATCTGCGAGAGAATGGTGGTGAGAGATACTGTTTTCTGTTCCCCATTATGGGGGTGTATCTTTACTGGACAAAGGGATGGAGCCTGTAGGATCATCAGCTTTCTGGGATATTTTCAGTATGTCCCTGCTTGTTGGCAATTGTCTACACCAGCAAGAGGTTCCTCAGAGTCTACATTTGAGGCTCTGGCTGCTCTGTGACCAGAGGAAAACACAAAGCCCAAGGGAAGAAGACTTGTTCAATCATATGCAGTCCAGTCCATACTTGATCTATCTACTTACAGCTGTGTCAATCATGTGCCAGACCAAGTCAAGGCAGTTTAAGCCCAGTAGCTCTTGATTCCTGCACACAGGAGATGGTTAAGAGTTTCTTGTGGGTGGGTGAATAGGCTCAGAAATGTGCAGAAAAGCTGTCACACCTGCTTCAGAGAAACAACTGGGTGTGGGCAGGGATGTTTGCAAGAGAGGAAGCATTGATCAGGAGTCATGTATGTCAGCATGGAGCTCATGCAAGGCAGCTCTTTGGAGGGGGGTGGATGCAGCCACATAGCTGTGAGCATGGGAGATTGCTGGGAAAGAG